ACTGAAGTTCTTTATTCCCACAGGAGAGGCTGAAAGTGTGCCTGTGAGTACCCCTGCAACACAGATTTCCCAGGTAAAGATGAGCAAAATGCCCTGAATAACTCCTAGAGTTTAAAGAGTTACTAATAGATAAATAGTAGTTAAAAAGCTAAATTAAGTGGAATGAAAATTGTAGGCATGTACAAGGAACATGGCAACTAAAATGTGCACACTGTATGAATGAATGTTATACATATACATATATACATCTTGGGCCTCATCGTAAAAGACATTCCAGTTGTGTTTAGACAGGTGATATGTGAGCTCAGCTAATTAACTAGCTGGCATCATTAGCACCAATTAGAGAATGCCAATTCACTGGGCTGGAGGGAGATTTCGTGGCTAAACCCGATTAACTGTCCCAGGAGCAAGGATGTGTTGATTGACATGGGGTAGGGGTGTCTTCCCCAGCAGGGGACCAAGTCTCCTGGGGGGCTCTGGGTTATCCTGGCAGTGTCACAGCTCCTTGGACCATGGGGTGCTCTTCTTGCCTGATAATCCAGACCAGCCGGGCTGGCCAGAGCCTTGAGTCTTGCTGCATGTCTCCATCTGGCTCTGCAGCCAGGAGCTTGGGAACCCTGTCTTTGAGCCCATGCTGCTTCAAGGTGATCAGGACTTCCAGAGCTCTGTGGCCACTCTTCGTTTTGACTTTCTTGCTGCAATCAGCCACTACAGATGCAACGAGATTGTCTATACCACAGCCCAGGGAGCATCCTTCCTGTAAGATGCAGTTTCAGTGTTTCCACAGTGATGTTTCCTACACATTACCAGTCTGCAGGAAACACAATGGAGTTTTGAGCATTTTAAGCTTTGGTCTGGTTCAATATGGAACCATACTCTGAAAGACAAACATACCCCTGGAAACCCTGATTATTTTAGCCTTCCCTTGTCACTGTTGCAACACTAATACCTGTAATTGCTTTCAAGTGCACCATGGCAAGTGGAGAAGATACTGCCTTCCATTAACTAGCCAGTACTTCTCTTGTCACATCCCCTTTTCCCATCCAGACAGCTCCAAGCAAGAGCTGTGACTGGATTGCTGAAGCACAGTGTATCCAGCATGCATCCACAATGGATCCAACATGCTGGGACAGTGTGCTGGGAACACCATGCATACATGTTGCTTTCCAGAAGCACCCTGCTAAGATGTGGATACCTTGATGAATCTTTCAATGCAAGTTACCAGCTGGCCGTCCCCTTCTGCTTCAGCAAGGACCCTATGGACACTGCAGTTACCAAAACAGACTGCACAGATGTGAAATAAGAGCCAATAAGTGCTTGCAGCCCTCTTTAGGTATCTCCATTCTTCTGTCCTTACCCTGCTGTTTGGCCTTTATTCCTATCATCCTTGCCTAGGAATATAAATACTGGATATACTCCTAGGGCCAGGTTCTCTGCCACTGTAAACAAACACAGCTCTGCTGCTTTCCTGCTATGAGGCATTGCAAACCTTCCTAATGCTTGGCTGTAGAAGTGCTGCCCTTAGGGGCAGGAGTTAATAGCTGCACTAGAAATCAACTGTTCACTGGTAAAAGCATATATCATGCAGCTCAAAAAAACCAGTTCCCAGCTTAGTTTCAGGCAGTGTCCTCAGGCAGCCCTCTTTTTGAGTGATGTTTACTTTCTTCAAATCAGCTACATAAGATGATGTGCAAAGTGATGGACAGTAGGTAACACGGGCAAAGTAACAGACAGTACTCCTTCATGGCTGCAGAAGGTTTTGCTCTTTTCTAGGATATATTTATAGGAGCAGAAATATTCCTGTGCAGAACTTCTTCATCCTGAGCCTGTTTTCTGCTGGTTTTGACAGGCTTCAGCTCAAGGTCCCTGAGGGCAGGCCCTGTTCTAGTGTAAGGACCTTAGGGCAGCTGCCAAGGGCAGCAGATGCAGATAGACACCCCTTTGGAGACACAGAGCCCTGGACAGCCTGGCTGGTGCCGAGGGAGATATCTGGGGACACAGATACTCATGGAAGTAAGGGTTCCCTCTCATCCCCTCAGTGGCAGCCAGGGCAGCAAACCCAGCTCACCAAGGCTCTGCCCTCTGTTTTCCACCCCAGCCATTCCTTCCATAAGCCATTCCTATCTCCTGGTCACGACCACCTTCCCTGGGCAGCCTCGAAGTCTGAACAAAGCTTTAGACTGCATGGACAGTCACTATCTATTGCAAATGGCTCAAATTGCTGGCTCCCACTGAGGAAGGCTCTACAGTTTTGCTGCCTCTGGTCCTGGAAGCAACATCAGTCCTGTTCACCTTTTGAGGACAGTACTACAGGTGAGACAAGTAGAGGCTCAGCAAAGGAGATTTCACAGCTGGTTTTTATATTTATATAAAAATAGCTCCACTCTTGGAAAGTGAAGACAAAACCAGGCTGAGAAATGCTCATCGTATGTCTTCCAATCTCACCCTTCTCCTCCCCTCTAGCTATTATCAGTTCCTCCACGTGGTCACGGTTCCCCCATGTTGGGAAGTGTTTACTCCCCTCTCCAGGTGGACTTCAATAGAGTTGGGCTTCTTGTTGGGCTGAAGGACAAGTGAGAGTCACAAGCGACTGCTTCTCAGTGTCCTATTAATCAGTCATGTAGAGAGAGGAGAATCCTTCATTTCCCTATGGGCAGCTACCCACAGAGCACAGCACAGTTACTTGGTCTTGTTAAGAGATTGCATGGCTTTTCCACACAGAGCTGAAAAACATCATGGGAGCAGGTAAAATGGGAGTCATGGCCCGCAGCAAAGACATAATCTGCTAAACATGCGTGGTGCTGGATCCCTCAGTGCATTGCTTTGTCAAGTTTGAGAGCCACACTCCAAAGGCAAGTGGGGACTGAAATTTGTTTCTTGACCTAAATTATTTAGATGCCCAAATGCTTTTTTTGAACAGTTCTTGGACAGGTTCTAAGGACTTCCTATGACCATGCAGATTCACTTACCCTCTAGACATTAGTTCAACTCAAGTTGTTAAGGTGTGTTCCTTAACTTTCATAACTTAAGTATTAAGGTGTGTATTTATTCCCATGAACAGGTGAGCCAAAGCAACACATTACAGTTAAGCAGTTGCCAAGTTCCTGTGGTAAATTTTAAGATCTGTCTATTTTGGTATGTGTTGCACTTTAGAAACACAGAATTGGTTTGACTTTCCAGGGGTTCACAAACCTGTGAAATGTCTCTGGTCCTGTAGGCATAATCACGTGGGCAAGACATAAGCATGATCTGATGCTTCAACAGCTTCCATTTTCTGTAACAGCTGAGGGGATTTAAAAGGTGGTTTCTACAGCTTGTCATTAGAAATGAGCTCAAACCAAAATCCACAGCTCAAGCACTACACTGTGCTTGGCAGGAGTTCAAAGAAAATGTGTTGTTCCTGTACCACTCCATTTTGGATCAAACTTGCATCCAGTGCCACAAGGCTCTTTGTATTTCCTTTCTACGCTCTCAGCACTGATGGCAGTAGAGTTCTCAGGGTTTCAGCACTGCATGTCCAGCCATACAAGCCCTGGCAGATGTGGCTGATTCGTGTTGCTTGCTGCTTTTACCCATCAAGCATCAGCAAAAGGAAATGCAAGTGCAAGATGCATTTCAGGTTTGAAATTGCCACTGCAAGCTGCGTGGGGCCAAGGAAGGATGTACCAGGCAGGGCAGACCCAGGCTGGGGTCTGGAGCATGAAGGATACACAAAGAAACCAAGCTAGCACTGTGACTGCAAGAGCAGATTGGCCAACAATAAACCCCAAAATAACAAGTGACTTTCTGCTCTTAGATGCAAAGCCTATTTTATTCTAGTCCAATTCTTTCTTTTGGCTGTCTGAACTCTGCTTTCACAGAGCATTTTGGTGCACATGGATACCAAAGTTTCTGCAGCAGTCCCTTCTTACTGGCTTTTGCTGATGTCTAGCAGTTCTTGAATCTGAAACCTCTAGATCAGCAATGACTTCAATCCCTGTACCCTTCACAAAGGATCTGTCTAGTTTATGCCTGTTCTAGAAGCATATGAGGAGGATACAGCCAGGCTTATAAGCAAAACCATTTCATTTTGGGTTATTCTCCCCAGATGTTGCTATCTCCAGGGCCAGTTTCCAGACTGCTCCATTTTGAGGCTATGACATCTCCATCCTCAAGCAGATCTCTAAAATGGGTAGCACAGGATAGAACAGCATATTTCAGTTGGAAGGGATGGATCTGGTGAATCACCTCTTTTCACTTGGAGGAAAGTGTGTGATGCTGAGCCCTGATGCAGGCCAGCAGGGAGACTCTGCCTTGGCAATGTCAGCTCAGTGTGGAAGTGTGGCAAGCACCTGCAAGCAGGCATGGGAATACGAACATTTTGCACTGTTGCAGCACTTGGCATCCCCCCACATCTCCAGGCATGTGTGTTAGGATGTCTGATGATGCTAAGACCATCTGTCTCTCCTCCCTAGGCTGAGATATCAGAAGCAGTATGGTCATTGCCTCCCTAGCAGCCATGGCCCCAAGCAGCCCCTCTAACCTTTCAGGCTACACTCACAGGGTGACAATTCCTGTGACACTCCTTTGTCCCAGGAAGGTGTCCACTGTGGACAGAAAGGATGGGCGAAGGGGTTGAACCAAGGGGTCTGGAGCTCCAGCTGGCTTGGGGAGTCAGGACTGACTGCCTGTGGAAGGAAGATGTCCTTAGCCTCCTGCTCCTCTCTGCCCTGTCCCAGCTTGTCAGTCCTGCTCCTCCTAGGCAGGCAGCTCTGGGAATGTGTTTCCAGCCAGACCAGACTGGGGACTGTGGGGTAAGTGCTGGGGTAGGAGTGGGGATGTCAGGCAGAGGCCTCTGTAAAGACACTGCCAGTCTTGATCAGAGGAGGATGGTGCATGCCATTGCCCCAAGGTATCGGAAGCCATCTCTGCTCCATTTACAGGACTCAAGCGCCTGAGTTCCCCGGGGTGGCTGTCCTCTTACCATCAGTGCTCCAGTTTTGGACTCAGTTTATAACCAGATGTTAGGCCGAATTTCTGTTGTAAAGGTAAAAACCTCTGGTACCAACATGCCTTGGGCCGCGACCTCGCCGTGGGCTTTGTGCAGGCAGAACGAGCTCCTTGCTCACAGCAGCGGGGCAGAGTTCAGGGCTGCCAGCCCAAGCTGCCCCTGAAGAGGGTTGTCCTCGCTTAGCCCCCTGCAAGCCGGCTGCCTCCCCTCACTGCCCACCTCCACACTGCCTTGTCTGCTCGCTATGCCAGCCTGGCTCACCCTGCTCTTGTCTCCTGCTTCGCCCGGCTATCAACCGACTGCCTCCAGCTTAGGTGGTGAGCTCTTCCAGCAGTGCTAGGGCCTCCAGGGACAGCAAACAGAGAGAGTGGGCACAGTGTCACTGTATGCCAGGGGAAAACCTCCCGCTCCCTCCCCATTGTGAGTTAAAGAGCTGCCTCCTTGCCTGGAAAGGGCCCACTGACCAAGGACAGAGCTTCTCCATAGCCCTTGGAGAGCAAGGAGGTGTTAGACCTGTCTGGGGAGAGCACCAGCCCCACAAGCATGTGGGGGAGGAGGACTTGCTCAAAAATGGACATATTCTTGATTGCTCAGCTGCTTTGGGGATTGATAAATCTGGCTGCTGTTATTGCAAAGCACCTTGGCATGTTTCAGGCTGTCCTCTCCTTCTACAGACTGACAGGCTGCAAACTGCCAGGGAGCCTGGAAAACCTCTAAATCTAAAAGGGGACACACTGACTGTCCAAGACAAACACATCCTGCCCTGTACTGAGGCTGCAGCAGGGGCCAAAACTCCCCCCATGTCTCCCAGCCATGACAGGAGGAGGAGAAAGAGGACAGCACCTTACAGGATGGGTTACACCCAGCCTTCGTGCCACTCTGAACCATGGGTGACCCTCGGGGACACAGCCACCTGCATCTGGGAGGAGGGACTGAACCCACCATGTTTGTGGTTCCTCTAGTTGCAGGCTTTAGCCTCTGAGTTGAAGGCGGGTTTCACAGAAGCGATGCAGGAGCTGTCACGGATCCAGCATGGCGAGTACGCCCTGGAGGAGAAAGTCAAGAGCTGCCGCTGTGCCATGGAAGAGAAAGTGGCTGAGATGAAGAATTCTCTCAACACATTCAAGGTAGGAGGGTGACCCGCAGCAGGGCTGCATACCTGCCACGTTAGCTTGGGTGGCACGGGGCAGAATTCCCCTGCTTTCGTCAATACTTCCTGCTTGCAAAGAAAATGAGCTGGCAATTGTTTCAGACGTATCTGAGGCACTTCCTTTGGCTATGTGCCTCCGTGACTACTCCAGCCCAAACATAACCCATGCCCTGGCCTGTGGGGCCTTCTCAACAGGCCATGAGGCAGTGCTGTGAGCTACCCTGGGCACAAGCAACCCTTGCTCAGGGCTGCACAGGCAACAAGCTTATGGCCTGTTCACAGGCTGCTGCTGGGCCACTAGTGCCGTACCTCTCCCTGGGTCAGGTCTCCTGCATTTCCTAAGTAACCCAAGCCTCTGGGGAGCAGGGAATTAACACAAAACCCTAAAGCCTTTTGAACCTGCATTCCCACACTGCTGGGAGGAAGAGCTGCCTGGTTTGATCCAGCCCAAGAGGATAAAGGCTTCATGTACACTTTAAACCAGTCAGCATCTCCATGCAGAAACTGGATGACTGCCTATGAGGAGATGGGCAGAGGAACTTTTTTATTGTTTTTATCATAAATCTTCCCCATGGGGTTTTGCTGAGTCAGTAATACCTTGTGAAGTTAAAAAGGGCTGCTTACTGGAAAAGCCCATTACTGATGCTGTGACAGGGAGACATGGATAGCACCAGGCAAAAGCAGCCCTGTGGTCCCAGACGAGCAAAGGAGAAAACAAGAAGTGTAAGGGCACACGACAGAGGTCTCAAAGCAACCAGAGGCAGGGTTACACAGAGCACTGTATGAGGTAAAAAGGGGTTTTAAAATCCAAATACAAGAAATTATGCAAGTAACAGGAGAGGTGAAAGCTGCTCTCTCTGGCTCATGCCCATGTTGATTGCCCCATTGAAGCCATCTCCTTGCTTGGGGAAAATCCCACGCCTTCAGTTTACAAAGAACTCTATAGTCTCTCTCTGCTATCCTGCTGCTCACACTGATGAAACCAGCAGGAACTTCATGCATCAGAGAGCTCTACATCTGAGTAAAGCTTTGTGGAAACCACCTGAGAGAGGATGTGCTTACAGGGAGGTTATGAAGGGCCTCATTTTCTTAGCTGACTAAAAAGTCAGCTCCAAGGCCTGACTGGCAAAAGCTTATACATGTGAGTGATAAAACTGGGATCTGAACCAAGTGAAACACATGAATACATATGCTGGAGAACTGCATAGGGAAATGTGTTTCATCAGGCCCACCTCTAAATGCCATTAAAGGCAGGAGTCCTCCCAGTGCTTTTAACTGGTGGTGGATGAAACCCTAGGTCTCCATCTCCCACCAGTGCCTTAACCACGTGACATCATACTGGCTTGGGTGAGTTGCCTGTAGTTGAATTAAGGATTGCCATGCAGTGCATGTCATGTATTACACACACTGGACTTGCAAAGGAGGAGTGTCTCATCACAGAGCCACTCTCCCCAGCACCCTGAAGCATCTCTAGTGCATGCCAGCCAGCATTCAAAGCAGTGCTATGAAAGGCTGATGGGCACCCTGGGAATGCTGTGCTTTTGCCTGTTTCTCAGGAGGAGCTCAGCGACGCAAAATCAATGATTGAAGAAATCAGTGCCAAGCAGGAGGAAATGCAACAGAAAATTGAGCAGCTGCAGCAAGAGAAGCGTCGTGAATCACGGAAAATGAAAGCTAAGTAAGGGCATGAACTCCAGGGCTCTGGACGTGCTCATTAGCAGTGGCATCTGTTTTGTTCATTTCCTTGTAGCTTAATGTCTTAATCTTTTCCTGGATGGACATGTGTATCAACCCTGATTACTACTGGAAGCTCTAGCCTAGTGGTGGCTCCTGATGGTGCAGCCATGCTCTGCTTTCCTGTCACCAGCCTTTTCTTCTCTGAGCAGGGTCACACAGGAACATGTCTGTGTGCTGCTGGACCACACTGTTGCTGTGATGAAGCAGACAGCTCGTCCACCTTGACCCTGATTAGCCTCCTTCTAAAAACTGATTTTTGATGATGAGTGTACAGCTGCCTTGATGCAGACATTTTGCAAATCTAGGCTAGCCCCTTAGCTAATTAAGCCATTTAATTAGATGAAATATGCTCTGCAAAAGAGCAGATCTGAAATAACCTATAGCCAGTGGTAGTTACTTCCAAAACATTTTTCATGAACTACATCAAAGCCAACTCCCACATAGCCATCTCCTTTCCCGGTCTCTCCTGGAGTTGTCCTACTTTTGACTCTGTGCTTGTACTTACACTATTGTCTGCCACAACTGTAGGAGCTTCACCTGTAGCATTCATACTTTCCAACTGTCTCATTCTTTGTATTTGTACAGAAGAGCACAGAAGGATGATCATGGGTCACAGACAGTGCCTACACCTCTCCAGGGCAGCCCATTTCGATCCATTAACCTCCCAGAACCTGTGCTGATCAATGAAGATTTTACAAGTCTTTTACACAATGTGACTTACGAAAAAGGTAGGAAATAGAGCGGGCAAATGCAGTGCCTTCCTCAGGGAAAAAATCCAGAGAAAGGTCACTAGGGTAAAAGGACACCAAGTTTTTCTCAGGTTCCAGCAGTACAACAAGACAACTGGGGTGCTCCCCCCAGCAGCACTGCTCCTGAGTCTGTGCACACACCTTAGCAGTGTCTCAGGATAGCAACCTCAGTGCTGGCTCAGATTCAGAAGATGCTGCTCTGTGAACACTGTCCCAAAATCTTCCTTGTTCAACTCCCAAACATTTGTGAAGGTTGGAATCAAAGAAAAGGTGTTGGACCAGAGCATTCTGTTCTATGATTAACTTTGAGGGTCTAAACCAGTCTATCACACTCTTGCTGTTCAAATAGGAACACACTAAAACCATACACATTTAAAAATTCAACAAAGGCAGAGATTTGGTGAAAACCATATGCTGTTTTCTACTCTGTTCTGCTCAGAATCTGGTCAGTCATGGCTCCCCTCTGTCCTTCTCTGAGCAGGTATGTTAGCCCCCTCCCTCACATCCCTCTTGCACATCTCTCACCCACTTCTCCCACTGCGCCTTTCTTTCCAGTCGTCTCACCCTCCACTCTTCAGTAAGCAACTTTCCACCCAAAAAGGCAGCTGCTGTGTCAGGCCTCCATCTTCTTGTTCTGCCTGCTAGGTACCTTCCACCCAACATGCACCTTCTGAGCAAAGACAAGCCGAGACTACTGATGTTCCTCTGCAGTCATACAGCACCAAGAACAGCAGGGACGCTACCTTAGCCTGCCTGCAGGTGCTACTGAAACAAAGACCGCAGCAAGAGCCACAACAGTAAAGATCCTCCTTAGCAGAGCATCTAACACAGGTGTTTCCATAGCAAGAATGTGAAAGACTAGAGGATCTAAGCCTGTTGACTAGGCTTGGCAGGAGGAAGCCTGCTCTACAGCTGCCTTCTCTTGTAAAGTTTCTCTTTGTTCTTCAACAGTGTCCGACACCAGGATCATGCCAATGGGAGAAGGAAGTGTGAAAGTCGTAGGAGGTCCAGGTAGGAAAACATTGAACTCTCAAAACCCAGTAGGGCAATGGTTCAGTGAGAGTGCTTGCTTCACTGCATTTCAGGGAATACATTTCACAGGAATGTCTTCCACTTTGACATGTGCCTTCATTTTCATAATTGCAGCTGAGAATGAGAGCAAACCTGCATCCTGAAGTGCCAAATACCTGACAGAAGACACAAATGATTGCTATTTGGCAGGAAAAGCCTTTCTGTTGCCGATCTTGCAGGTTCTAAGTGCCTTTGCAGAAGGCAAGAATTGAGGCTTACTAATGTGGCAAAAACCAAAGAGTGTGCCATTTTGCCACTTGGGAAGAGATGATCTTTGCAGTGATCGCACACCGGTAGAACTGGTGAGGTGTTTGTTCACCCTCCAGCGTCCAGATTCCTTGTAGATGTCTGAGTAGTAACAGGAATTTTTCTGGCAAAAATAAGAATTGTTCAGAACTAAAAGGGTATAGTTAGGGGAAACTAAGGATTCTGGCCAGCAAAAGGACACCTGAGAACAACCATTAGGTGTTTGCACTGTTCACTAGAAGCACTCAGTGTTCTGGATGGCTCTTTTGCTGGAATCCACTTGAAAATAAAAAGAACAAAAGCTATGGAAAATGGTTTATTAAAACCCAAATTAAAAGCATTTGCATTAAAGCAAGTCCATCTCTAATGCACCTGCACCCTCCCCTATTTTCTCTGTGATTTAATAGCCTCAGACTGAGTCCTGCTGCTGCAGTATAATCACGTCACACTAACAAAAATTTTAAGAGCTATGAGTCCAGAGGAGGGCCACGAGGATGATAAGAGGGCTGGAGCACCTCCCGTATGAAGACAGGCTGAGAAAGTTGAGGCTGTTCAGCCTGGAGAAGAGAAGACTGCGTGGAGACCTCATAGCAGCCTTCCAATATCTGAAGGAGGCCTACAAGGATGCTGGGGAGGGACTCTTCATTAGGGACTCTAGTGGTAGGACAAGGAGTAATGGATTTAAACTTAAACAGGGGAACTTTAGATTAGATATAAGGAAGAAGTTCTCCATAGTGAGGGTGGTGAGGCACTGGAATAGGTTGCCCAGGGAAGTTGTGAATGCTCCAACCCTGGAGGTGTTCAAGGCCAGGCTGGACAGAGCCTTGGGCGACATAGTTTAGTGTGTGGTGTCCCTGCTCATGGCAGGGGGGTTGGAACTAGATGATCTTAAGATCCTTTCCAACCCAAACCATTCTATGATTCTATGACAGTTTACATCCATTGCAAATGGCGTTTAAATCAAAATTATAATAATACTTCCTGTTTCTACAATACCTGCCATATTACCAAGTATCCCAGACCCCTGAAGTGCAACCATACTTGGAATATATGCTTATTCTTTTCAAAACACATCTGATTTTGGACCTTATTTGGCCTGAAAATAAATGCTGGAAGAGTGCAAACCTTGTTCTGCCAAAATGCTTGCCAACTGCTCTTCTGTTTGTAAATTAACAATACAAGGCTATAGCCCTTGTGAAGCGCAGAGGATGCTTCTAACTCTCCTCCCAGTACTTCACAAGGATGCTTCTAACTCTCCTCCCAGTACTTCACAAGGATGCTTCTAACTCTCCTCCCAGTACTTCACATGGCTGATAATGCAGCTTAGCTGCCTGCTGTAGCATAAACCGTTAACTGAGATGTCAAGATCTATTTAGCTGCTTGTCATTGCAGGAGCAACCATAGAGACAGACGACAGCCTGAAGCCATCTTTGACAACAGAGGGGCAGTCGAAAGTGCATCTGCCATCGACAGTGTGGAAGCAGCCGAAGGATACCAAGGACTGGGGAGATGAATACATTTCAAAAGAGCAACCAGAGAGAGGGAAAGACATGGGCCAGAGCAGATACAGCTCAGCTGACATTATATGTGAACCCTCTTTGGCTGGTAAGGACAGAGTGGAAAACTCTGGCTAGAGAGGCTCAAAGCTGCATTCACATCTGGTGTGAGCTGGTCAGTAGTCAGCTTGTACAGGGGGAGACACAAAAGCCAGTTTCTCCTGGTAGGAGGGAATGTCTCAGGGCCTCAGTCTCCAAGACTTCCGGCCTTTATATTTGCTGGTCTGTGCTGTTGACAGAATTGCTCTGCACCCAGGACACCGATTCTTCTTTCCAAGACCTGGCAGGTTTAGAGTACTGATGGGATTGTGACAGCGCAGTTGCTTAAGTGGGTGAAAAATACAGCTTCTCATTCTATGGGAAACTGGATGTGAATCCCCAGTATGAGTCGCTTTGCCTTTGATTGCTTGTTTTGTTTTTCTTCAAGAAATTGGTATTCACAGGGGAAAACACATTTGATTTGGAGCTTTCTTAGCAAACTGTGCCTCCAAGTCATGTCTAGGGCATGCTGTAGCATCAGGCTAGAATTTTGTATTTTGGGGAAAGGAAACACACAAAGACAAGACATTGATATCACTTTTTGACAGTTTCTCCTTTCATGATTTAATGTCAGATCACAGGTCTAACATGAGGCTGCCCTTGAGGTCAGCATTTCCTTATTATTAAACTTAACTATTATCTTCTGGAAGCCAAAAGGCAGAACATCGCTTTGGAGCTGCTGGAGTCAGAAAGGAAGTATGTCATCAACCTTTCCCTAATCCTGAAGATCAAGGCCACATTGCAAGGGCCAGATGTGAAAAGGAGCACCAAAGAAAGAAGGTATTTGATTTAGTGTGCTCTCTTTTGAGTTTTTTTTCAGTTGACATTCTTTCTGCATCATACTCCCTCCCACTTTTCTTTCATCTTTGAACACTTAGAGCTTATTTCTAGTTGAAAATTGGAGGCACTGGAAGGTTTTTGCAGTGATTAAAGACTTTCCTGCCTGTCCTTGCATTTTGTCTACCTTGCATCTCAAGCCATTTCACTACGACATCATTTCAGTCTCCTTCTGAGTCCCATCAGTCTCCTGTTCTTTTGCATGCCTCCCACATCCAAGGAGTCATTTGACACAAGTCCACCGTGGGACATGTGGTACATGGGTTGATGTAGACTTATTAAGGAGTTACATGACACACAGAGTTCAGACTGAAGCATGATAGTCTAAAGTGAGTTTTTATTTTCACTCTTTTTCCCTGGAACTTTTCCATCTGGCAAAATAATTTGGTATTTGACATCTTCACTCTGATTCTGGATGAAATCATCATGAAATGACAGCAAGGCAGCAGCAGATTTTGACCAGTGCTGCATCAAAGGGTTGGCTTGTTAATGGGCTTGACAAATGAGACAACATACAAAGCTGGGGAGCTCTCCTCCTAGCACTCTCTGGGATGGCTCAGGACCATGGACCTCTTCATTAGCCACAGCAGCATGGCCTTGGGCTTCTTAGTTCTGCAAATTCTGGTCAGCTACACAATGCACTGGAGAGTCAGCCTAAGAAACCTTCAAAACACTGTAATAATAGCCTACCAGAGAGGGTACCTACATGTATGTAACACCCAAAACAGGGCTTCCTGGTGCAGCTGAGACTCCAAGAAAAGTAGTTAAAAACACCTGTGTTTGAAGCACTCATGAATGCACACTTCAGCAGTGCATGCTTAGGGCTGAGCTTCTGCTCTGTGTAACCAGTCTGATACAGTCTCCCTTCAGTTTCTTCCCCAACTCTTTGCGGTACCTGGTCCAGCAGCATGTCGACTTACTTCACGCTCTGCAGGAGCGAGTCCTGAGCTGGCCACGACAAGGAATTCTAGGAGACATCTTCCTGAAATTAACAAATGATGAGGTATGTTACAGACCTCTCTGGACTCTTCTGCTATGAATCATGGCGTGGTGCTGATGGCCCACAGGTGGGCCAAGGTACATTGCAGCAGAGGGGCTGTGCTGTGAAGCTGTGGCTAGGGTAAGACCTTTCAGCCAGCCTCCTTTGAGCAGAGCCCCAGTGCATGGCAGCCCCTCTGTTGTAGCACTTGGTTGGTCAGGGAGCCCACATGCCAGGCCCACCTGTGGGCATACAGCCACACAGCACAGCCCTATAAAACATGAGACCTAGACTTGGTTGCAGGAGCCACACAGGAGCCTGTATAGGTTGGATGTCTCTATTCACAGCAAGGGTGTGAAGAGTGTGTTTCTTGTGCTCCCCTTGCCCAATACACTTTGCTCATATGATAAGTCGATGGGTAGGCCCCTTATCCTATATAGTTTCTAGCCCCAAGTAAAACAGTACATGCTCCTCAAGGTGAAGGTGTGCCCAAGCCCTGGCAACCAGTGGGACCTCTCCAAAAAGGGTGTGTAAAACTTATCTGATGCTTTATAAATTTTAAGATCTTAACTAAGAAAAGCTTCTTGCTCCCCAGTCTCTGTACCTCTCCCATCTGCTATAAAGCTTTACAAACTGTGCTCAACAGCTGAATTAATTTTATTAAACAGCCTTGAGAAAGTCTCAAGCCCTGAAAGCTTCACACAGTTAGCAGCTCTGCTGTGCTGATGAGCTCCCAGAAGTAATAGTGAAGAACCAACAGTTTCACATTCTGACTGGCTCTGTGACCAAAAATCTCCCCTAACTTTCTTTGTTCTTTTCTTCTTTCTTTCTGTAAGAATAATTTTCTGGACTACTATGTTGCTTACCTGAGGGACCTGCCAGAATGCATCTCTCTGATCCATGTGGTGATCCTGAAGGAGGTAAACTTCCTGCCTGCTTCACAGACACATATGGCAATATGCAAGCCTGGATCTCTTCCTGTTATGCCTGCCCAAAAACCAGCTCCTCTGCCAATTCACTCATTCTGTTACCAACTACCAGTTTCTCAAAGGTTGCCATGGCTGACACGCACCTACAAAATGAAGTTTTAATGTGCTCATCACTGTGTGCAACCAATGATGGTTTTGCTGTGACATGAAATGTCACAGATCAAACCTCCCAGAAAACTTGTCTATACACATGCTATCCCAGTCAGTGTCTCCCGGAAAATGGAGGACTCATCCAAACAGGGAGACCAAGAGTGAGGCTGTAAGTGCCTCAGAGAGAAAACAGCCTCTACTGTTCAGCTTCAGTATCTGATCTCACACCTTTGATTCTTAGTTTAAATTAGGAAAGTTAAATATAAAGGTAGTTTTAAAGTATGATAACTAAATCACGCTAGATCGTTTCCAAGACATCCTAATTTATAAGTCAATCAATTCAATTTTGTTCAATTCTGAACAAGTGTCTACCTGAACTTCCAATGAAACCTAACTAGTGGACATTAAACATAAACCCCTACTTAATCATGCTGGGGATATCTGTGAGGGACACTCAACTTAAGGAATTTCACCCTTAGGACTAGGATTGCTGGTGGAAGGAGTTGCAAACATCCTTTCCAGAAGTAAGATGAAGATTGATGTATTGTCACACACAACTGCCACTTGATTGGTGTGCTCCTGTGAACTGTTATAAGTACTTACAGCATAACTACTAATTAAATCCCAGAGACATTTAGAAGCAGACATGTTTTATGGGTGGGAAAGACTCTGAAGTTGCTTTCTCTATTTTAGGTAGAAGAAGAAATCAAGTCTGATCTCTACATTCTGTTCTTCCATATAGTCCAGCGAATCCCAGAATACCTTATTCATCTACAGGTAGGGCCCCGGGATGGAAACTGTCTTGTTGAACTCTTATCACTACACGTGATTTTAACTCAGAGTTGGTATCCAGGCAGGAACAGGTACAGGGCTTCTGGCTAACCCAGACAGCTCTCCGAAAAAAACCCCAATCTTTGAAAGAGAAAGTCATCTGAAAGTGGGTTATTTTTCATCATTTTTACCTGAAGCTTGCTTCTATTTGCCAGTTTTTCCACTTGGCCTGACAGAACCAACTTCCATCCCCTGGAAGTCAAAAGTTCTGCTGCCTGCTGCTCTGAGAGAACAGAAGGCCAGAGATGGGGCACACGTACTGTGAGCTCTGACTAACCCCTGTAACAGAGCTGGCTTCTTTGCTGAGTGGTCCACAGGCCTGTTAGCTGAGAGACTAAGAGGGCTAGAGGCTCCTCAGGCCCAACAGCATTTCCTACAGACATCTTGCTGATAAAAAGAGTTCTGGCTCACAGGAGGATTATGTGAATTGTACTAACATGTTCCAGGCAAATGACACAGAAAGTAAACCCTATAAAAACAGAGATCAGTTTATTCGTCCAGTGCTTAACTCAACCAGTGTATCATCCACACATCCCATGGTAACATTATAGTGGTTACTTGTGTATACCAGGAGGCAGACCCCATCCAAGTCCCTCAGAAACTAGTGCTGCCTAGAAAAGGTCCCACCATGCTACCACAGAGCAGTGCCATGGACACTCCAGAGCACTGGTCCCAATAGTACCTTCTCAGAAAGGGTTCAGAGACACCCTCCAAACAGCTTGCTCTCCTCTATGCCCCAGAATGTCCTGAAGTTCACGGACCAAGAGCATCCTGACTATTACCTGCTGCTGGTGTGTGTGCAGCGCCTCCGGGTTTTCATCTCACACTATAGCCTCCTCTTCCAATGCAATGAAGACCTGCTTATACAGAAGAGGAAAAAGCTGAAGAAGTAAGCACATCAGCTCATTCTATCACCAGGGAAAGGGAGGTGTGGGGAAGCCTGGAAACATGAGGTTTAGATCCAGGCGAGATCAACAGGCACTTGCTCTGTTGAAATAAAACAAAGCTCTTTGCAGACAAATGCTGAAGAAGGCCCACCATTGGCATTTGTGCTCCAAACTGAGGTCAGATTTGGGGTGGGCCCTTCTGTCTAACTCTGAAAGTGAAAGGAAAATCAGTTGAATCCTAAACATAGCAGCCATGTGTTTCCTGGGAACATTTGATTCTTTAAGCTAATGGCAAAGTCATTCCCCAATGGGAGAACACATAGGACTTAGCTGCTTTGGCAGTTTGAGGCCCTGATGTTGCCTGAAGCACTCATAGGCTAAGATTGAAAGAAACAGTGTTATCTTATCTTACTGTGAGAGTGGGGTGGGAGAAACAAAAGCCTCCCATAACCTGTTTGAGATGATCTGTGATAGAAATGACCCTGAATGTAGATTCTCAAGTTGTGGTTTGGGAGTTCCTTGAAATCAAGACTTTGGACTAAAATCAAAATCTGTTTGCTTTTGCTCCTTGTGATGATTCACTGGGGAACTAGATCAAGATCAAACTTCAAGAGAAGCTGCCGAATATGGAGGGTGGTAAAGGGGTGGTGCAGATCGCTGGGGAGGGACTGCTATCAGGAGAGACATTAAGCACAGGACAGAAAGCAGGATGCCCTGCTGACTGAGACAGATTAGGTGAAACAGGTTCTTCCTTGGGGCGGGAAGAGGTGAATGGGAATATTAAGGTCCCTCCCAGCCCTGTTTTCTGTGATTCTACATGCTCGTGCTCATTCCCTGCCTTATTTCTTAGCACGACGATGGATTTCTCCTCCCTCAGGTCATCCCTGGTGAAGCTGTACAAAGGTCTTACCTCCCAGTGTACGAGCCAAGAGGTTTCTCCAACACCCAGTGCAACATCTATCCGGGACAGCGGGATCCACTCGGAAGAAACAGTACAGTCATTCCCACCAGCACCTTCCTCTGGCACCACAACCCCGTAAGCCTATTGTCCTAGTAGAAGGCATTCAAAGTAACCTCTCTCCTCGCCCATACTATGCCTATGACCCTAAGCAGTTACAGACTGGCATTTCCAAGATTACTCCCTGTGGATGCATAGAGAGATGAAGGGCTGGCTCCTTCCTGTTATCCACTACCACATGGCTTGTAAGCAGGAAACATTTCAGAGGAAACATTTCAGAAACAACCCAGGGCTGTCAATGTTCTTGCTAGCTGTCTTAAGAGTGTACCAGGGAGGACACGTATTTGTGTAGGCCTGGCAGTGATGTGCATAATAAGACTCTGCGTTATTCCCTTCAGCGTTACAAGAGTTAGAAAACATGACCATGGTCTCAGACTAGCAAAAAAAGTACTTTTCCACATAGCATGTCACTGAACAATGTGACTCAGCATCACAAGATGCACACACAAATGGGTTCAAAAAGACATAAGACACCCAGCAATCTTTAGCCATTTCTAGCTACTGATGTGTGCCAACCGAGATGATGATCAGAGAAGCACACTAGATTTGCCTTTTTTTTTTTTTTTTTTTAATGTCAGCAATTTGTGGCTGTTCCACTTCCTTACATCATTTGACACTAACAAGAAGAGTTTGGCTTCATGATTCTGAGTCCCCCCAAGCAGCAGTGTTACTAGACCAATCCCTAGCCGCCTCCTCACCCAGGCCAATCTACAGCAAGAGAATGAAAGTAAAAATCCAAAATGCTGATGAACAGGAGAGGGATGGAGCAGTTGGCTTCTCATCTCAGTTTCTATTTATTTCATGGTGTACAGTACACAAGTCAGCCAAAGCTACTGGATAAGCAGTTTTACCCCTCCAAGTTTGCTCCTGTTAACCCAACCAAGCAATTTCTGTTAGAGGTAGCTCTGTTACTGTTCTCCAAGATATGAAAATACCTTCTAGCCTTAGAAGCAAAAGAATGGGGCTGGGAGAGTGAGGGGGGAGGGAGGCTTGTCTTGCTGTGTCTGAGTCATCCTTTAGCATTCCACCCCCTTCTGTTTTGTTTTGTTTCTTATTTTTAAGGCATTTGATGCCCCAGATGAAGAAACCCCAGCCAACTGTGATGGAGAACATCCAGGCTGTAAAGCCCCCTGACTGGGAAATGGAAAGTAGAAAACATGAGAGGCCAGAGAACATCCTTGCATCCTCTCAGCTCACAGAGCAGGAACTCAAGGCTTTGACAGCCCCTTTACAATCCATCCCTGAAATGGAGTATGAAGCACCACCAGCTGATGCAGTGGGAAACACCGACAGAGCCATCAGGACCTCTGTGGAGCTGCTGCAGGACGCAAGAAACTTCGCACCAAGCTATGAAGAGTTTGACTACCCCGGGGAGGTTTTCACCCTGCCAGGCCCCTATGAAGATGATGCCTTCCAAAACATCGCTCTCTTTGAGAATTGCTCCCCGGCCTCTTCCGAGTCCAGCTTAGACATTTGCTTCCTTAGGCCTGTTAACTTCACATCAGAACCAGAGAGGACAGATCATGCCTTACAGCCATTGCCTAAGAGCTGCACTCCTGTAAGCAGCAGTACTTACAAGCGTGAGATGTTCCACAGCAAAGGCAAGCAGCTGAGCAGGTCCCTGAAGGAGCTGCCGAGGAGCGCTGAGGGTGTGAGCACCAGACTCTACAGCACGCGGAGCAGCAGCGGGAGCCGGCTGCAGCAGAAGCAAGAGAGGAATGTCCAGCCTCACATGATCTCAGCCTCATCTCGAAGCTCCCAAAGGAGCTACTTCCCCCCACAGAGAGGAGCGGGTGAAAAACAGAGCTTTTTGGAAGTAAGGAGGCATAAATAGCAGCAGGAAAAAAAACCACACATGGTGATGCAGAAGCAGCAGAAGGAGAAAGATCTGAGATGCAGTTAGGGCAGAACATGCCAAAATAGCTTCCAAGTCCACACATTCAAAGTCCTCATCTGCATGTACGTGCCCAAGGGAGGTACAAGACAGCTCCTTTTCACACACATCTTCCCCAGGGACAAGCATGGGCTTGAGGCACACAGCTAGCTGAGTGACAGCTAGAACAACCTTGAGACAAGCTAGCCTTTCATGTGTCTCTGGCTGTCACCGAGCTTCCCCCACAAGTAAATCTTGTATCTGATCAGGGTCACTAAGTATGTGCAAAGCTGTTCCAAATTAGTGCTATAAGGTGGCATCCAGTTAAAAAGGTGCCTTTCTATCTGCTGTGAGGAGTGCTGGGCTAAGAAAAGCAATGGATTTAGTATCAGATCCTCACCCAGTGTAAAGAAGCATGATGGACAAACTCAGCCTTTACACCACCAAGGATCCGGTCCATGGGTTTCATTTCACCTGTTTGTCGCATGGATCATAGACCCTTCTTAAAACCTGTGTGAAACTAGAAAGAGCCCAGCAACATTGTCTCTCAGGTGGGACATGGCAGATGGCACTCCTGCCCTTCAGGGACACCACATCTTGAAAGAAGTATTTCTGTAGTCTGCCTGTTCAGAGTCAGCTTTTAGCTGTCACAGGCGGGGGGAAGACGTCCTTCACACTTCCTGGGGAAGAGGCTGAGGTACTTTGCTGGTTCTCTTAGTGTTGCGTGGAGAAACACCCTCCTGCTAAAATGAGCCAAGATGCAGATGAGGCTGTAGATCTCATCTGTAGCAGGTGATAGCAGGCGCTACATCTGTAGATGTAGCAGGTGATGATGGGAGGATGGTTCCAATAGCCTGACTGAAAAATCAGCAATTAAACACTTAAAGAGAAGTGAAAAAAGCCTAGTGAGTGAAGCAGGTGGTGGATGGCTGAGCCAGGTAGATGAGGCAGACAGATAAAAGCCATGGGAATACAGCTCGTGCCCCCTCGTCCTGTCTGTGTCCGTTCTCTTCCTGAAAAAGGAGCCTGTGAGTCCTGTGGCACTGACCTGCACAGAGCTATGGCCCACAGCAGGGTGCAGATGTGGAGCTAGTCCAGAACTGTAGGACACATTCTCCCCATAGAGCAAAGATCACTGTGGCAGTGGTAGGCAGAACTGGAGAAAAGGGATTTGTCCAGAGCATTGCTGAGAGGAACCCAGCACTCTTCCTAAAAGGGGGAGAGATCTTTTAGTGGCACATTTACCACAAGGTGTGTGTGCTAATGAAGCCTTCTGCCCCACAGATATATAACCAGACAAGCAGCACAGCAAACAGAAGAGTCTTTCACACCGTATCAGCTCAAGAAGCCTGAAGCCTCCCTGCCCTAGGGTAAACAGCTCATGAGCAAGGAGAGGGTGGGAAGTTCCTTCAACTGCCCATGCTGGCTTGCTCCCTTGTTGGCAAAACAACAAGGGGCTAGTAAGCTCCCCCTAAACAAAAACCTTAGCAAGGAAGGCTCCAGTTCCCTCTAACAATGCTTATCTTTCCAGTCCTCTGCCAAAGCCTCAGAGCCAGCAACAAGCTCTCGGCAGAGGTAGCAGTGCTGCTGAGGCCTGAGTGACCTGTTGTCTCCCAGCCTTGCCAGCACCTCCTCACCCACCAGGTCCCTCCTAGCACAGAGAGAAAGAGAGAAGGGGACAAGGATGTGAGGTTGCAAATGCTGGTTAAATTGTCTTTTCCCTTTTAGGAGCTCCATGCAGAAGACAACACCAGGTTCTGCCAGAAGGATGACAATGAGCAAACATCCTTCAGCGACCACAACCCGCGGCACGAGCCCAAGGGGGGTTTCCGGAGCTCCTTCCGCAAGCTCTTCAAAAAGAAATAAGCAGCCTCAGGAAAGGCAGGCCACAGCCTAAGCGCAACAGTGCTTCCCCGGGTCCCCGAGGGTGGAGACAGACAGCAAGGCCCCAAGTACCCCTTTGCTAACACAGTAGGTGGCAGGGTGGGGGAGAGGAGACTGTCACAATTGCCTTACAACGCATCCTGCTCTTCCTAGCACAGGGCAGGGCCAGGCTATGGGTTGAAGTGCAGCTCAGCCAGCAGGTCCAATAAGCACAGGAACTTGCTAGCTTACACCCCTGCCTGACTTAACTTTCTTCAGAAAGTTTTGGAACGCTTTGGCCAAGTCCCACTATCTTCTCCTCCCCCTCATCCCCCAACGCTGCTTGATTTGCCACACATCTTTGCTCTTCCAAGTTCAAGCCAGGTCAAAACTGGGCACAGAGTTTGACCCCACAATAGAGGAGTTACCTTTGCAGCTTTGGACTCCTGGCCAGAAGTCTGAAATTCCCCTTTCCCCTCCCCTTTCAAAAGAAAACCCAAACAAAAAACTCCAACCCACCACAAAAGATGTCTTCCAGGACACCAGCTCACATTACCCTGCTGTTTGAGAAGGTCTAAGTGGAAGCACCTTGGCTTTGTACTGTTTCATCAGCAGCATCCTTTCTTTTGGACTTCCATTACTCCCCAAAATCCTCCTTCACCTTTTATGCAGCATGTTGTTTAATTGCCTCCCGCTGCATGAACCTCTGCTTCTGCTGTTGGAACCGCCTCTGTCTCCAGGCAGGTGATGCAGGCTAAGCCCAGGGCCTGCCAAAAGAGATGAAGATTCTTCTCCACCCTATCCCCACTGAGGATTGATGCAGATACTGACACAGTCAACCTGTAATACACCTGAAATACTCTTTGCTAACTCTCTTTGGCCTGATATCACCTTATAAGCCCCATCATGTGCAGCACCCTGCTTTGGAGCAGTTCTAGCTAAAACTGAGGCATCAGGGCAGGACAATCAATGGTGCCCCAAAGTCACAAGCTCTTCTTCCTGGGCAAGAATCATCCTCTCACAACAAGGCCACATACACACCACCCTCATTGCATCTTGACATGACAAATGCTCAGCAATGCTGTTCTCTGCAGAAGACTATAGCTTTTGTTAAAAAGACAGTATGAAGAGAAACATAGCCCTCTGGTACAATATCCATGACACAACTCGGCAGCAAGGCACTGCTGGCACACGGCTGTGGTGTTAGCTGAAGTTGGGGGATGCTGAGGACAGTTTCAAGAGGAAATATGGTTTTACCACCTTATTTTGGCACTCATCATAAAGAACAGCTTCACCTGAAGAGGTTGTGAACTGTCTCTCTGGGGCCAAGAGCAATGTCTCAGGGGAAATATGCAAGACTGTGAGATTAGGGGCTTGGGATTCCAACAGGATTGCAAGGGTGACTGAATCTGGTGCCAAGAGCACACATCGTGCTGCATGCAGTGGCAGCAGTATGGAGATGTCGTTGGCTAACACTGTAAGCTTCCCCATAATGTTGACTGACCTGCAACTACCAGCCACTTTCCTCCTCTAGTGGAGGTGAAGGGGGGTGTGTGAAAAAGGTCATCCACCTAAGACAGACAAAATCCATCCTTTATCTCAATCAAAGTTTTCTGAACATTCCAAGGAAATGACCAAAAAACCCTCAGAAATTAGAATGTTTTAGCTGACACTGGCCCCACAGATTTTACTGGACCTAAAATGGTTTCAAAAAATCCACTTCTTACAAAGAGGAAAAAAGTATCACACAACCCCCCCCCTCTCAGCTTCTGGAAACTATTCTGGGAAGATTTCTTTTTAAGGTTTTTAATGACAAAACCCAACTTTCATGTCTTTCCCTCTTCCTCAAATTCTCACTGAATAATAAATTCCCTAGCCCTTCCCAGTCAGGACCAGTCCACACTGACCAGCCACCACATCACAAAGACACTCCCTAGGACTTTGCAGCTTTCAGTAAGACAGTGCAGGGCCAGAATAGAAATATGTAAGAAGAGGCAGATACTTTTAACCAAAGCATCAACAAAACCTGTTTGTTCTGCAAAAGAAACAGCCATAGACTGACCTGTTTTTTTGTCCATGGAACCAGAGTTAATATGGAAGAGCTTCCACCGTAACACACCGATGCAGTCAAGGGCTCTGATCCTTGTGTCTTTGGTCTCATATATAATGACACTTATTCATAGAATAAATTTGCTCCTCACTCTTGTCAGGCAGATGCTGGGACAGAAATGGGATAAAAAGGCGAAAACCTACGTGGCTAACATCTCCTGGGTGAGGAAATCCTTCCAAAGTGGCAGACCATTGCTTGTAAAATGCACGTGGATTTTAGCTTCTGTTTTAGTGATTTAAGGCATGGTCAGAATTGATGGTTCTTTCTTTCTGATCCTGTATGAGTTCTTACTTCTAGGCCTATATTTATCATTTGAGATGTCCTTGTACCTGCTCAGAATCTGCAAATGTAAATAAGATGAATGAATGATGCTTAGCACCACAAACACCTCTTGGCAGGATCTGATCCAACTTCACCTTTAGTGTATGTGTGTGCTCTGGATTATTTTTCTTCCTGTGCCAAATAAATGTTGCTTTTAAATAATGCTCTTGTCTCTTTTGCACCGAATCAGCCATAAGGCTGCACCCATTCAAAGAAACACATTTCTCAGGTCCCTTCCTGAGGCAACATTACTTAAAAAAATCCTGTTCCCCTGCACACAGTCATGTGAGAAGACTCTTTCAATACATCTGGTTCCAAGACTCTTACCCAGCACTCAGCTGACTTGCTTTCTAGGCTTCTCATCAAGATCCTGTTGTTGTTGAAGCTCACTGTTGTATTTCTTCAGCTCCTTCCTCCACCTCCTTTATTCCTTCTGCCTCTTCTGCTGCAGATGCATGAGCTTCCACAAAAAAGTCCCATGAGCACATACACCACTGTAACTTCAACTATCCAACTCTAAGAGATCTTAACATCTTCCAGTGTATCACAAACATCTCTCACATACCAAGTTTTTACAAAAATTTAATTCCATTTCTCACACTATCTTACCTTTGCCACATTCTCAGCAGGTCCAAAGCAATGACACCACACACAGGGACAACTCAGCTTATAGTGCTCACACCTCCCCATGCCACGCAGCACCTGCAAGCGTGTTAGCATTCCTCCTACTGCTCCATAGCTCTCTACAGCAACATGCCACTTGAGGACAGTGGTCCCAAGTGTTCCTGTTTGCAGTTGAGTCAACACCATGATTTGTGCACTGTATGACTGACCCATTCTGCTGGGCTCCAAATCACATTTAAGTTATGTTCTTCAATGTGACCATTATCACCTGTTGTGAGTATCACATGAGTAAAGCACTTTTATTCTCAACCACAAAGATGTGAAACATCATTCCCCATTTCACAAAGGGAAATGGAGATCTGCTGACATTCATGAGATCTGTTGAGTTGCAGGATCCATGTGAGGCCTCTCCTCCTAGCTGAGCAACCTAACCACTGGATCATTCCTTTTCCCTGGTCTGCCTTGGCTGCACAATAGCACAGACAAGAGTGTACAGAAGAGAGGAGAGACAGTTCAGAAAGTCTAAATTTAAGGAGTTTTCCCTGGTAATACACTGATGAACTAGTAACTTGGATGACACTGCCAACAGTTTGCACATCACAGTGTTTATATCCAAAGAACAGTAACCTAAACCACGGCTCCTGTAGCTTGAGGGTTTTTACAAAGCTCCTGGAAGCCAATATTTAGAGATCTTCACTTTTTCTTCTTTTTGCCAAGAAAATGTTTCAAAACTACGCTGTTAAAGACATCAAAGAAGGAATACAACTAATATCGTTAAATTTCAACATTTAAAATTGCCATTCTTGTTCAGATCAGAACACCATCTGAAATGTAACAACCACACTAAAGGATCAAGGGGCACTGCAGAAAACATTAACAAAGGTGATTTCCATCATCATTCGACTAACATCATCTCTAGTGACACAGCTTTCCAGGATGCTGAAATATATTCTTCTTCCGAAGACAAAATGTGACAGAATTTTACTTTGACCCATGAGCCATATTAACTGAAGACGAGACACTTTACACTTCACATACATACTGTAGTGGAGATTATAGAGCTTCTTTTCTTCAATAACTGCCATGCATTACTGTCACAGTATTTTCTAGAGTTGAAGAGCAGTACACAGGTTTATGGATAATCCATGTCATGATACTTATACCAGTACATGTTCCATCATGTATATTTTGGACATAGTAACCTTCTGTAAAGATTCATATGTTTAAATTTTTCTAACAGATGTCATACAGGAAGTGTGGGAAATTTTATAATGCATAATAATTCACTTTCGGAGTAAAAGAGCTTCTAAAATATTACTGAATTATTACTTTGCAACACATGCCAGAACTGACTTCTCTTTCGAGTCTGATTACTAAAACAGATACACTGAACTAGTAAAAGCATGTACCACAATGTGTGCTTTTGTCTCTTTCATTGCTTAACTGAAAACCTGATTTGTCCATTTGCCTGTGTAATAATTTAACGTATGTCAGCCGAACATATCTGTATCTTTATTTCAATTAAATTAAAAACAATCTGCAAGTATATTTATGCAACGTTCACTATATACACATGATTTATGCAACTGCAAGGCAATTCTATGTATGCTGATTAATCTATTGTTAGTAAAACATGACAACAGCTATGGAAGTTGACAAGTGAGTGCTCCTTTTCACAAGTGACTGTTTTCATGGCGTGACTGAAAAAGAATAGCTACTAGCCATGAAATGGATTATCAGTAAACCTTAAAAAGAATGTGAACATAACCTAGCAGAGATTAACAGTCTTCTAAATGTAGTAGTATATTTACTTCAGATGATAGTGCTGCTTCTTAAAAGAAAACTTGCTGTCATCTTAATGATGTAAGACTTTCATCTGCTCTATCTAAAGAAAGCAATAATTAGACATTATGCTTCCTGGCAAAAATTTATTTTTGAACTGGCACCATAGTATTTCAGAAAATAATAATAAAGTACCTCTTTGGTGAAGCCTAGGTACCCCCTACTACTCATTGTAACAACTTGTAAACAGGACCGCAATACAGTGCTTTACCTTAATTCTAGCTCGGTTAGGTACCACAGATCTTCCTCACAGTCCTTCTCATAATTTTAGGAAGGTATTTTAAAGCAGGGAGTAAAGCAAAGGAAGATTAAGAAGGATATAAAGTTCCCTGTTTGAGATTTAAAAAAAGTGCATAATGTTTTAATTCCAAAAACTGTGCCACTGTATGGAACTGATGGATACAAGACTGTTTTCCTTCCTGTACTGGACATTATTGATCATTACACAAACACAGTCTCTGCTCATTGGCCAAAGAAGTCTCTCAAGTCTCTTTTCTGGTACAATCAGTTGTCCAATTACTTTAGAACAATGTCCTGCATACTAAATCAAGAATAGCAAGTTAACCATTTTTTTTCCCACTAGAATGTCTGCTTTTGCAATTCCATTTCTATACACTGCATTTCCAATCTATTGGAGAGTTTTTAGTGTTTGGCATACACATCCCAACTCCTTGGCACCACCAGGTTCAGTGCATCCATTGCCAGCAACAGACGTAGCACCAGGAAAACGCAACTCCCAGTGCAAGGGATAGTTCAGGAGGAGTGGGCATTCTCCAGCAATGGTGGTCCGTCTCGATGCATCGATGGGTGTGTGTGCTCCCTTTTGTAAGTTTTTGGAGGAAGCTTTGGGATATGTTGAGAAGTGCTTTGTCGTGGAGGAACAGGTGGTCCAGCAACAGAATGGAGGTCCACATCTTGTGGTATCAAAGGTGGTGATGGAAGATGCCTCCGTGCTACATGTGGAGAAGGTGTCTGAGGGGGAGGGGGAGTAAACGGAGATGGACTGTTTGGGAAAAAAGTGTTACCAAGTTCGCTTTTTCTCCCCAGTGGTGGAGGCTGGAGGTGTAGTGGTGAGCTAGAGAAAACATCTGGAGTTCGCACAGGTTCTCGTGGTGGTAACACAGGAGGGCTTTCAGGGGGGTCAGAGATGCAGGTCCGATCAGGCACTGAGTACCTTGGTGAATACACTTTAGAGGTTGGTTGCCTAGGAGGGATTGCTGGTGGGCTGTCCAGGTGCACAGAAGTTATCTGAGGTACACAAACAATTAATTCAATACAATTTTAAAGTTGCATTAAAGAACAGGGCCCTGCTGTGAAATGGACGCAGAGCTTCTGCCCTGCAGATTGCTCTTATGCAGTCAAAGAGGTGGCACAGCAAGCGGGTGCAGAATGAAGACGGGAGTAAGGAAGCAAAAGGAGTGACAGTGCCCTAAAAACATGTTTCTTGGACTGATGTGGAGAGAAAATACACAGACTGAAAGTGCAGGGGGAGAGCAGGGATTTATCAATACATGGGTTAACAGCCAAGGATGGAAGGAACCAAGATGCACAGAGAGGGACAAAGGCAAGGGAAAGAATGGTCAAAGCAACAACTTCAAAGTTATAAAATGAGGAAAAGGGAGATGCAGATGATGCTAAGGAGGGGGAAAAACAAAAAAACTATGCTCAGAAGATGGAATTAAGTCAGAATTATTGAAGGAAACAGCTCCCGAGTGGCAGACCAGAGTGAGAAGGTAATTGGTCTCCAACACCCTATCATGTATACGATGTTTTCAGTTACATTTTGATAGGAACATGATCTATTAACTCTGCTCTCAGGACGGTCACCTGTAGTCTGAAAAGAACAACTTGCTGGAGCCACATATAAGCCCTCTTCAAAGACATACATGCTCTGAAGTAATTTTGAGTGGGATTTTCAAATCCACTTAATTTCCACTCAAAGTTACAAACCAGCTCCCATTGAAACCAAGAGACATTTGACACTGTCTGCAACAAAGGCTGGATCAGATGCCACATGCCAGAAAAATGCAAAAGGAAATGCAGCAATGACTCAAGCAGGCAGGCAGACAAGACAGGTAATCAAGAGGGGAATGAAATCACTAGGCATGACAGCATCAGGGTCAAATATTCTAATGAGATGTTTCAGGGACTGAGGTGTGTACATTACTTTCCATCATTACTACTCTTCAGTTCTTTACCCCAGTCATACACCTGAAAATGATACTCTGGGACAATTATCATAGAGGAAACATCAGCCTGAAGCCTCAAGTCCCCACAGGCAATGTAAGAGCCTGAGCGTAGCAGACCAGTAGACAACAAGAGACATTTCTAACCCTAAATTTAGGTCACATCTGTTAATTTTCATCCATTTGGGATCAGGACATGAGGCAGAGCTCTGAAGGCTTCAAATGTGAAACACATGACTGCTAACTCTTTCACATACAGTTCTTCAAAAATACAAATACTATCTTTAAGAGTTACTCTTTATCATACCCTGTCCTCAACTCGCAGAAACAAATGCCCTTTTTTCTCCTTACTTACTTTTGATGGGGAGGATTCAGCTGGGGCAGACTCTGGTCGTCTTCGTGGAGGAACTGGAGGAGGGACATGAGCTTCATCTGAATTTTTGGTGAAGTTTATGGATGACACAGAAGCAGATCCTAGTGGACATAAAAAACCAATCCTGATCATGATGAACTTTTGTTCAACTCAGTATACTGCCTTTACTGCTGCCAATAAAGGTGTCATAAATAAGAAATTGCTCATAAAACCCAGCATGAGTCAAGAAGGTATTAAAGACAAACAACAAAACAAACTTCTAACTTGCAGCTTCCAAACTGCCTTTCTGAGTTGCAACCATCTCTGTGGCCACCAATTCCTGCACAATCTTAAGTAATCCTTGAGACCAAAAGCTCACCACAAAGTTGTTCTCATATGAGAACAACACTAAAACAATACCCTGAACCTGCAGTCGATGGGCCAACCCAATAGTGAAGAAATACCAGAGACCTGGCTTGGACACTCAACAACGCCACTGCTCTGCTAAGCAACTTCTGCTTTTAGCAAGTCATTTCACCTCCTTGTGGCAACCAGCTGAACACAGGACTAACCTTGTACTTCCTTTGGAAGCCCTTGCACATGAAAGCAGGCTATGTCCACTGTTAAGAATGGAAAGCACACTATAAAATATGAGTTTCCTTGTATGTTGGTGAAGACAGAAGAAAAATAGGTGTGGATGGGTGCTGATGGATCTACAGCAGGGATATACCGATTTTAAGTTCTGCAGGAAAACCATCTATGTGCATTGAAACCAATTCAGAATGGCAGAGAGCAGAATAAGGCATCTACATACATTCATTTTTATTCTCATTGTTCACCATTAAACAGATAGTGACCACATATACATGCAGCAGCAAATCCCACAGGTGTTTGTTTGAGACATACACAGGCACTACAGATACATCTCTGCCTTCTTGTTTTGACAGTTTCTCTACAGACATGTAACATAGAATCACAGAATGGTTGGGGTTGGAAAGGACCTTAAGATCATCTAGTTCCACCCCCCCTGCCATGAGCAGGGACACCTCGCACTAAACCATGTTGCCCAAGGCTCTGTCCAATCTGGCCTTGAACACCTCCAGGGTTGGAGCATTCACAACTTCCTTGGGCAACTTATTCCAGTGCCTCAGCACCCTCACTGCAAAGAACTTCTTCATTACAACTAATCTAAACTTCCCCTATTTAAGTTTAAAGCCTAATACCCCTTGTCCTACCACTACAGTCCCCAGTGAAGAGTCCCTCCCCAGCATCCTTATAAAGCCCCCTTTCATATACTGGAAGGCTGCTATGAGGTCTCCACGCAGCCTTCTCTTCTTCAGGCTAAACAGCCCCAACTTTCTCAGCCTGTCTTCATACAGGAGGTGCTCCAGTCCTCTTATCATCCTCGTGGCCCTCCTCTGGACTTGCTCCAACAGCTCCATGTCCTTTTTCTGTTGAGGACACCAGAACTGCACACAATACTCCAAGTGGAGTCTCATGAGAGCAGAGTAGAGGGGCAGGACCACCTCCTTTGACCTGCTGGTCATGCTTCTTTTGATGCGACCCAGGATATGGTTGGCTTTCTGGGCTGCAAGTGCACACTGCCTCCTCATGTTGAGTTTCTCATCAATCACCACCCCCAAGTCCTTCTCCGAGCAGGGGTTATACTGTGGTGTGATTCAAGGTATTTGGAGCTGGCTGTATTTGTCTTGAACCTGAAATATCAACCAGTGAAATAGTGTTTGTATACACCATAAAGGCCTGTGGTTTGAGTCTTTGTAGCATGCTGAGAATTAGGTTTTATGGTGCTGGGCAATTATTTATGTTTT